GGCCTGGCCCGCCGCCCCGCCGGCCCGCCGCCCGGTACTCACACACGCACAGCTTCACCACGTACGCGTAGTACGACCAGACCACCACGAAGAAGATGAAGAGCACCGGCACCCAGCCTACCACACGCTGGCAGCCGCGCCACAGCGTCCAGGGCGCCATCTTCTGCTGGCGCTGCTCGTGGTCACTCAGTTCCTGCTGATGCTGGACCGGCTCACTCGATTCCTGCTGGGGATGGTCCTGGGGATGGCCCTGGTCCTGGTCCTTCGATTCGGAGGAGCCCGAGACCTCCTGAGGCGAGCGCTCGCTCTGCTCCGCCACTGGCGAGGCAAGGCTACTCGGACGGACAGGGCTGTCCGCCTTCGCGATTGGGCGCCGTGCCTTCGCGATTGGACGATGCACCTTCGCGATTGGACGATGCACCTTCGCGATTGGGCGATGCACCTTCGCGATTGGGCGCTGTGTCTTCGGCTTGTGGCGCTGCGCCTTCGCGATTGAGCGATGAGTCTTCTTGACTCCGCCCCTTGAGGCGCGCGGCCCCGGGCCGCCCCCACCCCACATCCCGCCTCCTCTTCCTCCCGCACCGGCCCGGGTTCGCAGCCCCCGCGCCGCAGGGGGCGGGGCTTCAAAGCCCGAGGAGGCGGGGCAAGGGGCGTGGCCTTTATCGGGACCGCCCTCGGGGCGGGGCAGGGGTGCGGTAGGGAAAGAGAATGGCTCATTGGCTAGGGAGATCCGCCAGGTGAAAACTCTCTCTCCTCGATAAAGATGGAAGATAGGCCTGATAGCCTATCTTATTTTCTTTTTCGGAGAGGGTACGGGGGGGCGGGGGACACACACTTGAGCACGTAACCCAGTTTAAATTCTAGTGGAAATGAATTACCTTGACAAGATAGAAGGTATTCCTTACACATGGTTTCCCCCCCTTAGCACCACACAGTAGGAAATCGTTAGTAGTTGTTGAACAAATATTGGAAGGTTTTTGTAGTTACCCAGTTCTTCCCAACATTTAGTCACCAACTAGATCACATTTGTTCCTGATTTCTAAATGATTGCCACATGTTCTAAGAAGGTATTGACTCTTACCTGAGTTCTAGAAAATATTTCAAATCTATTTCCTTCTTATCCCAAAGCCATTCCAGTGTAGCCACATTGTGGGGAGGGGAAGGAAGGGGAGGAACATGTTCATTCTTTTCTGAATGTTTCTATCTTTAGTGCTTACAGACATGTTAATGTTCTTTGGCCTATAAGCAAAGGATCCAGTATGCTAATAATCTTTTCGTTCTCCATGTTGGTGAGTAATTTTACCCTATCCCTGTAAGCATTATGCCCACCTTTGGTCCTCAGCTCCACGCAGACCCGAGCCCCTCCCATCCCTGGAGTTCGTGCCATACAGCTGGCCCTTCCCTCTCTCTGCCCAGATCCACCTGGGTTCCCATCACTTCCGACCCACAGACCCCTCCTGCTACCTGGATGGTGGTGGAGGCCATGTGCTCCCTCTTCGGGGAAATATGGCTCCTCCAATAAACCTTATAATAATCTTTCTCCTGTGCCTGGCTGCCTCAGTGTGGTCCCCTGGGATGGATGTGTGGGACCCTTCCATCTCTGCTACTGATTGTGACAACAGAGAATCATTTAAAGACTTTAGCCAGGGTCATAATGACAATCACTCTAGTCATAGTGAGAAGAATGATTTAGAGAGGAGAAAGTCTGCAGTCTGGAGGACCAGAATGGATTGGGAGGCTATAGCAATACTCTCAGTATTAGTTGACAGTGGCCTAAACTAGTCCGCTGGCAGTGAAAAAGCTGATAAGAAAGTTGCTTTAAGCTGAGCACTGGTGACTCATATCTGTAAAATCTAGCTATTCAGCTGTGGCTGAGATTTGAGGATCATGGTTCAAAACCAGCTCAGGCAGGAAAATCTTTTGAGACTCCAATTCGCCAGCAAAACGCTGTAAGTGGGGCAGTGGATCCAAGTGGTAGAGTGTTAGGGATAGAGCCAAATCCCTAAGTTTAGGCCCCAGTGTAGGCATACACACACTCACTAAAAGCTTTAGAACTTCAGATTATTTTGAGTGCTGCTGCTCTGCTCCAAAGAATAGCAGTGGGGGGGGGGGGAAGGAAAATTGCAAAAACAACTCATAACTAATCCTAGAAAAGAAACTGTGTTCATCAATCTTTGGGATCATGGCTTTTTTAAGTTCTGGGATAGAACCCAGAATCTTAACATGCTGAGCAATTGCTATATCATTGGGTTAAAAAAAAAAAAAGTTAATAGAGACTGAAGGATGGCAGGCCTGTAATTTAGGAGTGAATCCAGCTGCCAATTGGCCAGTGATTGATCAAGTTCTTGTTTTTCAATAAATTCTATCTGAACCAAGGTCTGAGTAGAAATAAGGACAAGTGAAGGCAGCTTTGAAGCCATTAGAAGTAATATATATTATATATAATACATATACATTACATATGCAGATAGAATGAAGAAAAAAGAAACCCATAAATTTAAAGCTACAATTCCAAAACATGCCAAAAATAGAATTTTTAAAAGATGCAGGAAGTGGAGCTGTGGCTCAAAGTGGTAGAGTGCTAGCCTTGAGCAGAAAAGCTCAGGGACAGAGCCCAAGCCCTGAGTTCAAGCCCCATGACTCATTCACAACACATACACACACACACACACAGATGAAAAGATGCAAATAAAAAACAATCACAAGCTGGAAGCTAGAAGCTCAGGCACCTGTAATCTTAGCTAATCAGTAGCTGAGATCTGAAAATCACAGTTCAAAACTAGCCCTTGGGGCTTGGAATGTGGCTTAATGGTAGAGTGCTTGCCTAGCTTGCATGAAACTCTGGGTTTGATTCCTCAGTACCACATAAACAGAAAAAGCCAAAAGTGATACTGCTGTGGCTCAAGTGATAGAGTGCTAGCCTTGAGCAAAAGAAGCCCAGGGACAAGTGCCCAGGCCTGAGTTCAAGCCCTAGGACTGGCAATAAATAAAAGAATTAGAAAGTGGAGCTGTGGTTCAAGTGGTAGAGTACTTGCCTTGAGCTAAAGAGCTGAAGGATAGTGACCAGGCCCAGAGTTCAAGCCCCATGACCGACAAAAGAAAAAAAAATTTAATTTAAAAAATAAAAACAAGAACTCTTCCCCCCAAAAAAGATTTCTTTGCCAGGTGCCAGTGTCCCATGCCTGTAATTCTAGCTACTCAGGAGCCTGAGATCTGAGGATTGCAGTTCAAAGCCAGCCTGGGTAAGAAAGTCTGTAAAACTCTTATCTCCAATAAACCACCAGAAAACTGGAAGTGGCACTGTAGTTCAAGTGGTAGAGCACTAGCCTTGAGCTGAAGAGCTGAAGGACAGTGCTCAGGCCCAGAGTTCAAGCCCCACAACCAAAAAAAAAAAAAAAAAAAAAAAAGCATGAAGAAAGGGAAAAAAAAAAAAAACAACTAACCCTTGGCAGAAAAGTCCATGAGATTCTTTTCCAATTAATCATCAAAAAGCCAGAAGTAGAGCTGTATGTAGCCTAAGTGGTAGAGCACCAGACTTGATTCAAAAAGTTAAAGGACAGTGTCCAGGCCCTAAATTCTAACTCCAGTACCAGCATACAAAAAAGTGAGTCACAACTTGAATTCAGGGGTTGTAGCTGTGGCTCAGTAGAGCATTTGTCTAGCCTATGTGAGGTCCTTGATTCCATCCCCACACCACAGAAAGTAAAAATGTATTTTTTTTTATCTTAAGTAGATTAGAAGATTCTTCCAGTCAAGAAGTCTCCTTCCTGTACCCAGAGGAGAAATATCCTTAGCCTGAAAGACAGAGGGACACCAAGAAGGATCTGAACAGGCCTTGCTAAATTCTCTTTGTTCCAATCACACTTCTTCATTACTATCTGTGAAACTGCTTAGTTCAAGTTACCCTGTTTCTTTTATCTTTTTTTTTTTTTTTTTGTCGGTTGTGGGGCTTGAATTTGGGGCTTGAGCCCTGTCCCTGAGCTCTTCAGCTCAAGTCTGGCATTCTACCACTTGAGCCACAGCTCCACTTCTGGTTTTCTGGTGATTAATTGGAGATAGGAGTGTCACAGACTTCCCTGCCCAGGCTGGCTTTGAACAGTGTTCCTCAGAAATCACCCTCCTGAATAGCTAGGATTTTAAGTGTGAGACACTAGCTTCCAGCTGTTTCCCACTTTCTTTGGGTCCTTATTTCAAAGGTTCCACATTCCAAAAGACTTAATATTAAACATATCTGTTTGCTTTTCTTTTGCTAACTTATCTTTCATCATAGGTGTTGCCTCAGTGGTGAAATTTCCAACAAGTGAAAAATCTTTTCTTTCCCATGTGACCTACAATAAAAATATTCTTTCAGAATTCCAAGCCAGTACTGGTGGCTCACACCTGTAATCCTAGATACTCAGAAGGCTGAGATCTGAGAATCACAGTTCTAAGCCAGCCGTGGCAGGAAAGTCCCCGTGAGACTCTTTTTTTTTTGGGGGGGGGTCCGGTTGTGGGGCCTGAACTCTGGGCCCGGGCGCTGTCCCTCAGCTCTTCAGCTCAAGGCTAGCGCTCTACCACTTGAGCCACAGCGCCACTTCCGGCTTTTTTCATTTTGCTTATGTGGTGCTGAGGAATCGAACCCAGGGCCTCAGGCATTCAAGGCAAGCGCTCTACCACTGAGCCAATCCCCTCCCCCCCAAGACTCTTATCTTCAATAAACCACCAGAGAACTGGAAGTGGCACTGTAGCTCAAGTAGTAGAGAGCTCACTTTGAGCTGAAGAGCTGAGGGACAGTGCTCAGGCCAGAGTTCAAGCCCCACAACTCACTAAAAAAAAAAAAAAAGAAAAAGGGGGCTGGGAAGGTGGCTCAGTGGTAGAGCGCTTGCCTTGCATGCCTGAGGCCCTGGGTTTGATTCCTCAGCACCACATAAAGAAAAAAAGCTGGAAGTGGCGCTGTGGCTCAAGTGGTAGAGCACTAGCCTTGAGCTGAAGAGCTGAGGGACAGTGCCCAGGCCTAGAGTTCAGGCCCCATGACCGGACCAAAAAAAATTAAAAAAGAAAAAGAAAAAGAAAAAAAAAAGAAATCAGAAGTTGGGCACACTTATAATCCTAGCTACTCAGTAAGCTGAACTCTGAGGATCAAGGTTCCAAGTCAGTCCAAGTCAGCCCATGTAGATAAGTCCATGAGACTCTTTTCTTTTTAAACAAGTAGTAGGGCTTAAACTCAGGGCCTGAACACTGTCCCTTAGTTTTTTCAGCTCAATGTTAGTGTTTGAGCGACTTGAACCACACACTTCCACTTCTGGTTTTCTGGTGGTTGAATGTAGATAAGAATCTCAAAG